TTGGTTGTATTGTGCTGTAGTTTTAATTTCCTCTGTTCCAACAATTACAACATTTTGAATAATTACAAACTAGATAAAGTAAATGGAGAAGGGCACAATAATTTAATAAAAGATAAAAAGATGCCCTTCACAATAAATTAAATTGTTTTCCTACAGTAACATAAAAGCTATACACATATAAGAGAGGGAAAGAGAAAGAACACTAACAAAAAATATATAAATAATACATGCTCATACGACCACATTAATACTGAGAAGAGTAATCCATGAAAAGTGTTCTTTTAAAACTATCTAGATGGCTTCTTCTGTAGAGATATAGTGATATCACTCCAATAGTAGCAATTCCTACAACTGTTAGATAGATTCTCCTTACATTTATTAGGAAGGGGCTAAGGTACCTTAGTTATATTGCACATTTTAATACAAAGAAAAAAATATACATTCCACAAAAAGCTTACAGAGTCAATTAAAACATAGCAAATTTTAGTTTTTTCAACTATAACATTGTACGTGTAAGTCTTATAATATCTATAACTGTTACAATATTAATTTTATCTTGCCGTGGCCCTTAAGGTGAAAGTCTCTCATAGACCCATCCATTGTCTCCTTTCTTTGTTACATTTTCAGCAAGAACTTCATCTGCTTCTTGTTTACGGAAAACAATCCTGTCATGGAGTCTACTGGATTGCCCTTGCCAGAATTCAACTTTATCTGGAATTACTTTAAAACCACCCCTAAAAAATAATACAATAATTCTGTTAGGTGATATTTAACTAATTTATAACACAAGTACTGGTACTGCTTTAAAGGAAAGTAGACAATGCTTTGCAACACTATACCATGCTCCTTTATGAAATAATATATTTTTTTTGTTCTAAAGAATAAAATTCTTGGAAGTATCGGATTTGTTACCCCATGTAAATGTGCTTCACTATAAGGTGACCACTTACCAATTATCTGGTTTTGGAATCACTTTTTGTTCATCAGCATATTGCTCTTTAAGTTCCTTCTCCTTTACTTCCAAAACCTTTAAATAATGAATATCACAGAAATATTAAACCATGTTTAGTTAATTTCACGGAAAAACCTAATGGATGCCCTGAACCTTGACAGCATTAATCATGGACATATCAAGGATTTAGAAGAACCAGAATCAAAGAGTTGTTCTTTTTCTTCTTTCCTCACTACATTTTGGCTTTATCTAACCCATATCATCATTATTGTTTGATATGTGCTTGCTTCTACATCTCTACATTTCTTTGAAAATGTACACCCTTTGA